TTGTTGCAAGGAAATTCGGTGGAGGATAAGCATAAATAAATAAATAAATAAATAAAGGCACCACTGTGGCAACTTGGCAAACTTGTGCACGAGTCAAGGTAAAAAAAATTGGAGCCGGTCTCGGTGGCTCAGCCTGTAATCCCGCGCCTTTGGGAGGCTGAGGTGAATGGATTGCCTGAGTCCGCGGGCTCGAGACCCGCCTGGGCAACTTGGCGAGACCTCATCTCTACAATAAATCAAAAAATGAGCCGGGCGTGGTAGCGCGCGCCTGTAGTTCCAGCTCCTTGGGAGGCTGAGGCGGAAAGATTGCTGGAGCCCAGCAGGTTGAGGCTGCTGCGCTCCAGTCTGGGCGACAGAGTGAGACTCCAACTCAAAAAAAACAAACAAAAAAATTGGACTATAAAAACTGCCTTGGGGGTTGGGAAGATTCTTGGGGGTTGAGTTTTTACAACTAACACATATCATAGGATACAAGGTAGTTTTAATCCTGAAATCTGCAAGAGACCTCCATTAAAGGGGGGTTGAATCTTTCAGGAAAGGGCCCTGAAATCTACTAAAGACTTCTAGTAGCGGGAGCTTGAGACTTTCAGGAAGGGCCCAGAGTCTTAAGGTCTGCAAAAAATCTCCATTATGGGAGATGGAGCACCCTTTTGAAAAACTCCAAAATTGCACAGACTAGCCCGATAACCAAGAATGGGTAATAAACAGTCTAGGCCTAAAAAAGGAGGTTGAAAGGACTCCCTTAAAATTCCCCCAGATAAGCCGGGCTCGGTGGCTACGATAATCCCGCGCTTTTGGAAGGCTGAGGTGAGTGGATTGCCTGAGCCCGCGGGTTCGAGACCCACCTGGGCGGCGAGACCTCATCTCTACAATAAATCAAAAAATCAGCTGGGCGTGGTAGCGCATGCCTGTAATTCCAGCTACTCGGAAGGCTGAGACGGAAGGATCGCCGGAGCCCAGCGGGTCAAGGCTGTGGTGGCCAGGAGCGGCCACTGCACTCCAGTCTGGGCGACAGTGAGACTCCAACTCAAAAAAAAAAAAAAAAATTTTCCCAGATAGTTTGCTGGGGAAGATATTGAAAAGTTGGAAAAATGATTCCAAAACTACAAAAAAAAGGGAAAGAAGAAAATGATTAAATTTTACTGTTTTGTGTAAACAAGAAAACCTCTACATCAGCCCTCAGTCATTTGGTCAGAGTTTGGTCCTAATAAGGATTGGCTTTGCCAAACTTTAGTAGTTTATATAAATAATAAGTCCTCTGTTTCATCTGAGAAAAAAGACTCTGACCTTTGTTGGCTACCACAGGTCCCTCCCATGTTTCCCCTTAAAACGGGAAATATGGAGAGGGAAAAAAACAACAACAACAACTCTGAACCCCCAGAAAAAAAGGAAAAAGCCTTGGGATCCAGTTTCTTGTAACTCCTGCCTATGATCCTCAGAAAAACCAGCAATGTGAGGGGGGAAAAATGGCCAGAAACAAGGATCTATCAGAAATTTGGGAGTCAAAACCCCTAAGCTCCCGACATACCTATCCTAACTTGAAAAGGGACTTGGAACAATGCCAAAAAGATACTGAAAGGTTTCCCTTTCCTCCTGAGGATTCAGGCAGAAAGTCAGAACTATTCCCCTTAAGGGAAGTTCCACTGGGACAAAAAAAATTGGTTTTGTAAGTGTTTCACTCACCAGTACAAAAATGAGAAATTAAAAAAAAAAATCACTCCTAGAGGACCCACTGGGATTGCCTGATCAAGTTAATCGATTCCCCTTTTTTTTTTTTTTTTTTTTGGAGTTGGAGTCTCACTCTGTCGCCCAGACTGGAGTGCAGTGGCCGCTCCTGGCCACTGCAGCCTCAACCTGCTGGGCTCCGGCGATCCTTCCGCCTCAGCCTTCCAAGTACCCGGAATTACAGGCCTGCGCTACCACGCCCAGCTAAGTTATCAATTCCTTAAACCTAACATATATGCTTGGGTAAAACTAATGTCAATTATAAATATTTTGTCCTCTGGGGAGGAAAGAGGAATGATTAGGTGAGCGGCTATGTCCATCTGGAAACAAAATCATCCTCCCCAGATGTACAATCTGCTGAACAAAAATATCCAAATGCTGACCCTAGATGGGACAATAATAACCCAGGAGATAGGGTAAGAATGCAAGACTTGAGGGAACTAATGATTAAAGACATTCAAAAATCTGCCCCAGGGTCTCAAAATGTTTCTAAGGGCTTTAAAATTCGACAAAAAAGAGAAAAACCTCCCACAGCCTTTTCTACAATGACTCAGGGACCAAATGAAAAAATATTCTGAATGAGATCCAGAAAACCTCGTAGGACAAGAATTATTAAAAGTAAACTTTGTTACTAGAAACTGGTCCGACATTGCTAAAAAGCTAAAGGGATGGAATGAAAGGCCCTTTAAAAAACTGGAGAGGCCAGGCTTGGTGGCTCAGCCTGTACTCCCAGCACTTTGGGAGACTGAGATGAGTGGATTGCATGAGACTGCGGGTTTGAGACCAGCTCAGGCAATTTGGCCAGACTTTGTCTCTACAATAAATCAAAACTTAGCCAGGCGTGGTAGCGTGTGCCTGTAGTTCCAGCTACTTGGAAGGTTGAGGCAGAAGGATCACTAGCACCCAGCAGGTCAATGCTGGGATAGCTGTGAGTGTGCCACTGCACTCCAACCTTGGTGTCAGAGTGAGTCTTGGACTCAAAAAAAAAGAAAACTGCCACTTTCCTTTTGGATATTGGAGCAGCACATTCTTCCCTAATCTTTAAACCTCAAAATGTCCATTTCTCACAAGAAGTTTCAAGTTTCTGGGGTTTAAAAAAAAGGGATTTTTACTGCTTATATTTAAAACCATGCCTATAAAAACTGAGACTAAAACATTAATTAGATTACTTGCATTTGTCTCAGAGGCTGGACTCAGCCTTTTAGATAGGGACCTAATTGTTCCACTAAATCTTAATGTGAGACCAAAACAAGGGCGACTCACAGTCAGGATAGCACACCTCACAGGAAAAACAAACAAACAAACAAACAAACAAACAAACAAAAAACAACAAAAAACCAGAATGCTAACCCAGAAGTATGTGTAAAAAACAAAACAAAACAAAAAACCGAGGGGGATTACAAATTACTCCAGTTCAGATTTTTTTTTAAAACAGCCTGATAAAGTTATATGCAAAAAACAACATCCTGTTCCTATGGAGGGAAGAAAAGGGCTCCAACTCATGATTAAAGGTCTTCTTAGGGATGGGCTTTTAGAACCATACATGTCACCATATAATACTCCTATACTTCCAGTAAAAAAGCCTGACATATCATACTTTCTAATACAGGATTTACGGGTCATAAACCAAATAGTTCTGACCCAATCCCCCTGTGGTTCCAAATCACTATACTCTCCTAAATAAGATTCCTCATAAACATAAATGGTTTAATATAGTGGATCTTAAGGACACTTTCTGAGCCTGCCCACTAGCCCCTAAAAATAAAAATCTCTTTGTCTTTGAATGGGAAAATTCTATAAAAATAAAACCAGCAATTTCACTAGACTATGTTGCTTCAAAGTTTCATTAACTCTCTCAATTTATTTGGTCAAATTGTAAAAACTGTACTGGAAGGGTTTCTATCTTTGCCTGACACTAACTTCTTACAATATGATGATCTCCTAATTTCAGGAGTAAATAAACTCCAAGTTTCTAATACAATCATAAATTTGCTTAACTTTCTAGGACAGCAGAGACTAAGAGCTTCCAAAAGTAAGTTACAATTTGTAAAACAAAAAGTTAAATATCTTAGACATTTGATTATTACAGGCAAACAAAAAATCAACCCTGAAAAAATAACTAAAATAGTCAATTATCCTAGACCCAAGACAAAAAGGGAACTTAAAAGTTTTTGGGCTTAGTAAGATATTGTAAATTGTAGATTAAATCTTATACAACTAAAATGTACACTCAAGAAATGTAGAAGTAGCTGGACGTGGTGGCTCATGCCTGTAATCCCAGCACTTTGGGAGGCAGAGGTAAGAGGATTGCCTGAGTCTAGGGGTTCGAGATCAGCCTGGGCAGCTTGGAAAGACCTTGTCTCTACAATACATAACAAAATTAGCCAGGCTTGGTGGCGCATGCCTGTAGTTCCAGCTACTTGGAAGGCTGAGGCAGAAGGATCTCCTGAGTCCGGCAGGTAGAGGCTGTGGTGGCCGTGAACATACCACCCCACTGCACTTCAGCCTGGGCGACAGAGTGAAATTCTGACTCAAAAAAAAAAAAAAAAGGCTGGGCTCGGTGGCTCAGCCCGTAATAATCCTAGCACTTTGGGAGGCCAAGGTGAATGGATTGCCTGAGCCCACGGGTTCAAGACAAGCTCGGGCAACTTGGCGGGACCTCGTCTCTACAATAAATTTTAAAAAATTAGCTGGGCGTGGTAGTGAGTGCCTGTAGGTCCGGCTACTTGGAAGGCTGAGGCAGAAGGATTGTCGGAGCCCAGCAGGTCAATGCTGGGGTGGCCGTGAGTGCACCACTGCATTCCAGCCTGGGCGACAGAGAGAGACTCCAACTCAAAAAAAAAAAAAGAAATGCGCAAGCCCCAGACACTGTCATCACAAATGAATAGGGCTGAGAGTATGAAGTCGAGGCCTTTTTATTGTACGCCCAGAGGCCCAAGGGCTGCTTCGGGACTCCTGTCAAACGGAGTCCCAAGACAGCTGCGGTGACCGCCCGGGAGGTACTCGGCCTCGGGTAGCCGCTGCCTGCCGAGCCGGCGCGTGGCACGCAGTGGGCTCCCAGCGGGCCTGGCGCGCAGCAGGGCGGGGCAGGCGGCTCGAGGCGCAGGCAGCGCGAGCGGTACTCTCGGGGTCGGATCCCGCCCCCATTGGCGCGTTTCGCGTTGTGATTGGAGGGACTCGAGCGGGGGCGGGCTTCCGGGCATGTTTCCGCCGTCGCCTGTTCCCGCCGCTGGAACCTTGAGGCGGCGGCGGCGTTGACGCCCCGGGCTTCCAGCATGCTGCGCAAACTCACCCTCGACCAGATCAACGACTGGTTCACCATCGGCAAGACCGTGACGAATGTGGAGTTGCTGGGCTCACCGCCCGCTTTGCCCACCGAGGCGGCCAGGGAGGAGGCCCAGCACAAGGACGCGGCCCCAGGTGCTGGCCTTGCGGCCCCGGCCCCGGCCCCGGCCCCGGCCCCGGCCCCGGCCCCGGCCCCGGCCCCGGTCCCGGCCCCGATCCCGGCCCCGGCCCCGACGCGGCGGGCTGCAGAGTTTGGGAGGTAGGACGCGGGCGGGGTTGGGGACGGTGGGCTTGCGGCAGCAGGTGGGCCGAGCGAGGCCTGGGCGCCGAGGGCTTGGGCTATCCCAAGCTCTCCTCTCTAGCTGGTGGGCCTTTCTTAGCTGCTCTAGTGACCACTGACCGTCCCGCAGTGAGCTGTTTGCCAGATGAGCCCAACCCATGGCTTAGAGTAGGTGAGCCGTCCAGGTGTTCGTCCCGCGTTTCCCCATGGGAAGCTGAGCCAGAGTTTTGTTCCGTTTTTACTTTTTTTTTTAATGAATTTGATCCTATATTTTGAAGCAGATTTAGGTTTCCGGAAGAGTTGAGTGGAGGGTAGAGTTCCCACATATCCCCTTTCTTCCCATGGTTTCCACTGTCCTGTGTCAGTGTGGTAATTTGTCACAACCGATGAACCGATACAGTATTATCACCCAAAGCCCATAGTTGCATTAGTGTTCACTCTTAGTGTTGTATGTTCTGTGTGTTTGGACAGATGCATGGTGACGTGTGTCCACCATCACAGTCCTACAGACTAGTTTTACTGCCCTACAAATCCCCGGTGCTCCCTCTGCTCACCCTCTTCCCCCACCACCTGGAAATTACCAATCTTTTTGCTGTCTCCATCACTTTGCCTTTTCCATGCGGTCATCTGGTTGGAATCCTTTGTATGTTACCTTTATGGCTGGTCTTCTCTCCCTTAGTAGCATGCATCTGAGTTTCCTCCATGTCTTTCCATAATTCGATAGCTCATTTCTTTTTAGCACTAATATTCTATTTCTGGATGTACCACAGCTTATTTATCTGTTCACTGACTGAAGGACATCTTGGTTGATTCCAAGTTTTGGCGGTTAATGAATAAAGCTGATATAAATAAGCTTTGCTCATGTGTGCAGGTTTTTGTGTGGATGTAAGTAGTCATGGGGTAAATACCAAGAAGGCTGGGTCTTTGTTCAGTTTCATGAACCCTCTTCTCACTATTTTTTTAGTTAAGTAGCTGCTATTGGTGATTCTGCTCACATGATTTTGGGGGAAATAAAAAGGCAAGAAAGACCTAGATCTGTGAGTAGAAGCTTCTGCTTCTGCTCCCTTTTGAAAGAAAGCCAGTGAGAGAAGTGCCCCTAGCTTGGAGTATCCCCATCACTCCCACCCAACCCCCAAGTTCGATGACCTTTACAGTTGAGAGGGTGGTTTTTGTTTTTAATTTTTAAAAATTTACTCCTAGCCGGGCTCGGTGGCTTAGCCTGTAATCCCGCGCCTTTTGGAGGCTGAGGTGAGTGGGTTGCCTGAGCCCGCGGGTTCGAGATCCGCCTGGGCAGCGAGACCTCATCTCTACAATAAATCAAAAAATCAGCCGGGCGTGGCAGCGCGTGCCTGTAATTCCAGCTACTTGGAAGGCTGAGGCGGAAGGATCGCCAGAACTCAGCAGGTTGAGGCTGCGGTGGCCGGCAGCGGCCACTGCACTCCAGTCTGGGCGACAGAGTGAGACTCCAACTCAAAAAAAAAAAAAAAAAAAAAAATTTACTCCTGTTTGTTGGTCACATCTGATTTGATGGTTAGGCCCAGACAATGGGACAAGTTTTGGTGGGTTGCTTCAAGCCTTTTGAATGCACCCTTTAGATGTTTGGTAAATTTATTTCTTGGAGACACAGAGGGAACAAAGGGACCCCTTGTGCAGCTTTAGAGTGGCTGTTTTGTTTATATTTTTTTACACTTCATTTCCTTGAATTATTCTGGTGAATGATTCTGTAGGTCACCTCCCCTAACTAATGCTCTGCTACTATACTCTTTAGACTTAACGAACGGACTGAATAGCCTTTCTATTAAATATCTCGTGATGTTGGAAGTAAATTATTACCAAACTTGTGAGAAACTAAAGTATAAATTTAAGTATGATCTTAGCTACTAAGGACTAGTTTTTAAAATTTCTAGTAGTTCATGGACTGAGACTTTCTTTTTTTTTTTTTTTGAGTTGGAGTCTCATTCTGTCATCCAGACTGGAGTGCAGTGGCCGCTCCTGGCCACCGCAGCCTCGACCTGCTGGGCTCCGGCGATCCTTCCGCCTCAGCCTTCTAAGTAGCTGGAACTACAGGTGCATGCTATCACGACTGGCTAATTTTTAATTGGTTGTAGAGATGAGGTCTCTCCAAGTTGCCTAGGCGGGTCTCGAACCCACGGGCTCAGGCAATCCACTCACCTCGGCCTCCCAAAGCGCTGGGATTACAGGCTGAGACACCGAGCCTAGCCTGAGACTTTTATAAAATCAATAAAAATGAATTTTCAGAGCAATGAAATAAAAAAGGCAACATACAAATCCCATTTACAGAAATTATTAGATTTTACTTATGTGAAATTTTACAAGTTCACATATGCCATAAATGTTTTAACTTCTATACTTAACTAGTGACAAGACAGGCAAATGGTGTTGGTCTGTGAGTAGTGCTAGGTTTGATGACATTCCTCTGCAAGTACCTTCCTGGGCTCCAAACACATGTATATGCAGTGCCAGAGTTTCCAACATGCAGGAGGGACTCAACTAAGAAAAAAATATGTGTTTTATATAACCGAGCCCAGCTCACACGAGCCCTTTAAAGCAGAGAACTTTCTCAGACAGGCGTCAGATTTAAAACTTCATTGCTTGTGTGTGTCTGTTGGGTTGGGGGGCACATGGAAAGCATGAGAAGGAATGTGGAGCAAAGGCTAGATTCTGGCTGACAGCCAGTAAGGAAATGGGTACCTCATTCCTATAATTGCAAGGAACAGATTTTGACCAACAACCTGAA